GGGGAGCTTGTCTGAGAAGCCCGCACAGGCATGAGCAGCATTGCTGGGGCTTTGCTCCTGCGTACAGCACACGCGTACCAGCACCTTCAGGTGGGGGCCAGCTCTACGAACTACTGACCACTTGCTTCTTTAACTGAATCTGCAGGCATCCAAGCCAACTAAGAGAGACCAAAGTCAAGCTCCTTAATTTAGGTGCTCCTTAAATTACAGATCAGTTTTGGAAACGTTGGGTTTGGTAGATCACTGTACAGGTATGAGAAAAACAGGCAGGCACTATGTATATCCACCTTTTACAGCTGTGCTGCTCCCAAGGGTTTGATAGATCGTGCTGTAAGAGGTGATGAAGTTAAAGAAATTTTTCAGCTTGTTGATAACCCGTTTCTCCTCACAAACACGGAGAAATCATTTTCTTTGCCACTGATATTGCCACTAAATGTTGAGTGGAAAATCCAGTATTGCTTGACTAGAAAATCTGAGTTTGAGATGCAAACCAGGTACTTACATCTATTAATAAAGCACTGGAAACCTACATCACATTACCTATAGTGTAAGTTAAATGTAAATGTACAAAAATGTAGAATTGAAAAACCAATGAGTCCTAGTGAAGTTACCATAACTGAGAAAAGTCTATGAGATATTTATTTGCTTGTGTACACACATCACTGCTGTGTGACAGCATCCCCACAGGAAGGAAATTTGCTTCTAAATGCCTTATGGTATCATTTTCAGCCACTATTGTTCTGTAAGGCGTTCAGGTCCAACCACACGTATATTTAGGGCATTATGTGCACACATGCAGCTGCTTCCCACGTACATTATGGTAATAGCCATGTGATAAATTGCAGAGCTACGTGAATAAATTACATTCGCCGTGAACCTCTGACTGCACCGCTTGCTCTCTGCCCACTAATCCATCTCTGCTGACACGGCTTTGACACTCTAAACCTCCGAGCAGCTTCAAGCAGCCACTGTTTAAAAATAAATAAAAGCAACGTGTCCCGTGTAGTATGGTCTGTATCTTGAAATGTGTTTTCTCCCTCAGAATAGTAATAGCTGTGATTTAGCCCTCAATCAGTGACATTTAGTTACTCATCTTGTAGTAGTGAATAAGAAAAGTTGTTCTTTTAATAGAAACTGCCCAGCAAAACTTGTTTCTTCCTAAGATAAACATTGCAAAAGTTCCTGTCTTAAGTATTTTTTAAGTTTATGAATGCCTTGGTTATCAGCCCACTCTCTAGTCAGAATAACTATTTTAAACAAAACAAACCAAAAAAAAAACCACCAAGGAAGACATTTTGATTAAGTATTAAAAATGGTGCCAGAACTCTCTCTGAAAAACATTTGACCTAGCAAAGCCCTCCATGCTGTGATGGGGGGTGGAGGTTTGCTCACAAATGACCTGCGGTTGCAGCTGTAGCTCGCTTGCTGCTTAAGCCCTTGGAAGGCAGAGAGCCACCAGAATCCTGACACAAGAACCAGAGCAAGAGGAAGAACTGGAGAGAGAGCGCCCACAGTGAGGGTGTATTCAGTGGTGTGAATATACAGTGACAGGCTTCTACGCGTTAAAGTGTTACTTGCTTTCAGTATAAATGAAATTATATGTACACACCATCTTCAGATATGCATCAGCAATGACTGGCTGACTTGAAACGTGAGGATAATGACTGAAATATTGGGTGTTCCTGAGGTACTGCACAGCAGCAGAGAACTCTCATCCCTAAAAACGCTTCATGTCTATCTGTACAATAGCTACATGTAGAAATAATTCATCTCCTTCAAAAAGAGGTTTTACGTACTTGTAGGGCTGAGCCTTGGGCCTTTCCCAATGAAGAGATCTTTTGTGTTCCTTTGTAGTTTTAGAAAACGAATTAAGAAGATAACACTGGCACACTTGGAGAAGGTGGAAAAGAGTGCATTCCTGTTTCGTTCCATGCTCTTGCATGATGAAATCCCGAATTTGAAATGACAGAGGTCCAAAGGTTTCTTTCCAGCACGGTGAAGTGCAGAACTGACCTACACAAATGTTGGGGTGTATTGTTGCCAGTATTAGATACTTGCTTGCTAAACCCGTGTACCAGTGTTTTGTTGCTGAAATCAGGTTAATGCTCAACAGCTTCTGGTTTTTCCTTGGAGGAGGTCAGGGTCCTTTCAGGTATCCTAAGGATAAGCAAGGGTACCAAGCAGCCAGACCTGCTTCTGCAGGAGGAGGTTGAAGCAGCCTCCTGTTTTGTTTCCATATCAGTCTTCCTATCAGGTTGGGTAATTTTCTGTTCACAGACTAAGGTACTAGCTATTGAGTCTGTGTCAGCTGTCGGTGCAGTATATCCCCGAACCACAGCCAGACTGAGAGGGTCACCCAAGTCTTGCTGGGAGGTGACAGTAAAATTAAGGTAGTCTGTGAGAGGTGGTAATAATGCACTGAGATGCACGCAAGCATACAGCACAGAGGAGATGGGCAGTTAACGGTGAAATTTGCCTCCTACATATTTCTGCATGCTCTCAGTGGAATTAAACATTCTTTTGAGTCTATTATGAATTTTTGCTGGGTGAGCTTTAGTTGCCAGACTGAGTAACAAGGTTTTGTGCATGCAGATCTGTTGCAAAATGCAACACTCTGTAGTTGGTAGCTAAACCCAGCACGTGCCAGCTCACCAGTTGTAGGCACCTTCGGGTCGTCCCATCAGGACAGCATCTGTAGGTATTACGGGGAACATGCAGCAGGGAAACCATCCCACAATTACTTTTATGCAACCTATTCTGAGAATTACATTATAGTTTCTGGTGACATTCAGTACTGACAACTCAGGAGATTATTCTGAAACCTCAAACCCCTGGAGTCCTATGATTATGTGAGATTCTCAGCTTTCATTTCAAACATCATCTTTATTTTCTTAGTCCTTCTGGTTGCAGGGAAAAGTTTGAAAATGAAACAGAGAGGCTCAAAAAGCAGAAACCCTCCAAATTATTATTTGTATAAAATCTCATTTTTAAAATCGCTCAGGATTTTTAGGGCTTGGGAAAGGATTTTGCTCGAGAGGAGAATTGCATGAAAGAAACATACAAACAAATGAATGGCTTAGAGCAGCGAACGCTCATGGTGTCTGGCCATGGAGTTGCTTGTGTCTCTAAGGATGGGACAACATCCTTCCCAACAGGTAGTGCTCCTGGATAACCAGCCCTTCCTGGGGGGTTGACTGGTCACCTCTGGCTTCCTTTCACATTTTAAAGCAGTCTCTGGCTGCTGACAGTGTGGCTCGCATGCTGGCAGACGATGCGTGTCTGCTTCTGTGGCATTCCTTTGAGGAAATTTGGCCGTCCTTTATCAGTCACAGCATTGGACTGGGGGGTCACAGCATTTAATTACTGTGGGTCTGTAATTCATGAACTTGGAGCGTTTGGCATTGGTGTGTGTCTGGCACCATACGCTTAGTTGGCCTGGGAGGAGAGGGAAGGGGAAGAGGAGTGAAGGAAAGGAGCTGCTTCACTTTCCAGAGATAACGTAAGCAATTTTTTAAGTACCTGGGGGGGTGCTAGTTTATGTGGCCTGCAGCATTTCTGTTTACAAAATGCTTTAAATCCCTGGGAGTAGCGAACAGTGAATCCTACTTCCCTCTTCCGAAGCGCTTGTTACAATTTCACAAAACTGTCCACTTATAAAAATAAACAAATCAGACTTTTCATGACCTTCCCCATCTTTTGCCCTACAAGAACAGGACGTAGGCGCCTTCTGACTTCACTTCTCACACGTTTGCCGGCTGTGCCCCCACTACGAGCATCGGGAGCCCCACGGAGCCACTGAAACCCAGCCTTAGCCTGGGGTTTGCATCTAAACCCTGGCCAGGATTGCTGCGTAGATACATCATGAGCTTAACCAGCAGACTCTTAGTGACTATTGCTGTAATTTGCAAACTGGAGATGAATTTATGTTACCAACCTGCGTTTGTGGCTGAAATGGCAACATAAAAATGCAATTTTCTGCTTATGTTTAGACCTAGCTATCATAACACCATCCCACATCCCAGCGGCTAAAAAAATCATGAAATTATCATCAATTAGCATTGCCTACAGCAAATTTTCTTCATAGGTTAAACAGAAGCTTGAAAAGAAGCCTACAGATCAGACTCCTGTGTGTTTGTACAGTTTATAAAGCAGAAATGCTGATGATGGTAGAAATTGCGTGCTAGTCTGTATTTCATAGCCAATCAAAACTAAATTAAGAAACAAAGATTAAAAAGTCTTCTGTGCATGAAATTCTGGCATAATATTATGAGGTGGACATTAAATTTTGCCCTCTGAGACTTTCAGCATCATTAATATAGCATTCCTTTAATTACAAGTAGGCTCATATTCCTTAAAAAAGGCAAAATACTCGGTAGTGTAGTTAGTAACAGCATTCTTATTATGTTTACTGAAATAATTAACTGAACAGATATTCTTCTGACTAATGCAGAAATCAAAATGTGAAATAAAAACGTATTTTTGGGAAGCATTTTGGCACACATACATGCATTCTTGGCTAAGAATTGTAGGAGAGCGTTGAATGA